TCAGCAAATTGCGAAATTCTCGCTTCTTTGTTGTTTGGTAAACGTATACCTCTGCAGTTCGGGCTCTGGCGGATCCTCAATGCTAGCAATTCCACAGTAAGGATAAAGAGGAAAGGGCTAGGTGGACACAAGTGGAAAATGACATCGAAATTACACTTTCAAATAAACAAATAACTTTTAACGACATCCCCCGTTTAACCCACCTAAGCGACTACCCGAGACGCAGACTACATATTTTCGTCATTGTTATAAAAGAATACATTTACGCCTGTACATTTTTAGACAAAAAACCAAACATGCAGGAATTTAAAAGAAAAGCTATACCACAATAGCAAATAGAGAAATGCGCTCTTCCCTAAGTTACAGATTTTCCCGCGAAGCCCTTTTTTTTCTAATTTAACTAGCCAATTGAAACAGACACACTAAATCAAAGCCCAAACTCTTACCCTTTTTTTCTACCAATTTTATTTAAATTTTTTTGTAGTGTTCGTAGAAAGTAAATAAGGTGTCGTTTTGTAAAGTACTCAAGTAATTATAAGTAGGCAAGTGAACTTAATTAGTGAATTGCAAGTTTTGTTATGTAATGTTAAGTCATGTTCTCTTTGGTAGTGTGATGTAAGTAACATTACCCTGTAATATGTGACTATTAGTAAGTGACTGTTAGTATAAGTAAGAAATAAGTATTAGTGTCTAATCCAATAAGTACAGTAATGTAATAAGTAGAGTGATGTAAGTAGAGTAATGTAAGTTTAGTTCTGTGCAAATGTTTCTTCAATAAATGTTTATTAAATTAAAAAAAGAAAAAAATTCAGTCAGTTATTATTTCTTTCATGAACTTGTTAATTTCCTCTTCACCTGAATTGCATTTTTTACACGCTAAGCGATTTAAATACCACGAGCGTATTGAACTAATGACCAAAGAGGTAACAGAAGATTTTTGTCGATCAGTGCAGTTCTGAAATCATCATATACCCGCTCGCACCTGGGAAAAGTTTTCAACTTTCCTGAAAAAAAAGACCATAGAAATTCAAAACTGCAACCGGAAAAGAAAACATTTTAGTCTGACTAGTTGAGTGGAATAGTTTTTTAAAACTAAATTAGTTAGTAGCACTCTACGAATAGTAGTTGTAAAACGTCCTTATTCTCCGACGCGTTTTGTCCAACTGTTGTTGGTTAGCGGCTATTACGGGAGCCAATGACCATTTAGGCTTGGCTGGACTAACGAACAGCAAACAGGAACAGGCCCCCAAATCTTTTTCACACCTCACCTGATAAATTTTCAAAATTTTTCACATTTTTTAACGACTGTTCGCAGAGTGCTGCTCAACAGTTTAGATTTCACAAATTAAAAAAGTGTGCAACATGGGCTACATAAATCGCTTACTTGCACTTCAGTAATCATATCTTAAACAATCTTACTCCTTAATCCTCACCTCAAATGATGTCGAATAAAGGAAAATTAGAATATTGAGGATATTCCTCAACAAGCCGTTAAGTCCATTCCGCAGCTCTATATTTTTCTATAGATACGTAAGACCATGATGCCTCAGTAGCTTGTTCTTTTCATTTTAATCTTTTTTCAGTCGCATGTGATGAAGCTAGTTTGCTCTGAAACTGTGATTTGTCTCTCTTTTCTACCTCCTTTCATATGATAAGTTTAGACAGTTTTTGTTTCGAATTTTGCTTCGCTAGGTAATCTTCGTTGTGTTTCTCAGGTTGGTACGGCTTTACGAGTTCGTAATCCAAAATGAAAGGTTGTTGCGTATCAAGAAAAGCGGATCAGCTTAGAGTTGAGCAGGCTTTGTTTAACGATTAACAATGACCGTATATGGCTACTGTGGAATAATGGCGGAAAAAGCTTTCAAATACACGCGGGATTTTTGAAAATTTCTGATTATCATACGAGCAGCAGATTTAAACCATCGGCAAAACTGATGATAAGACAAATCCTCCCCATGGGGGTGATTCTGGTAGATTTTTTAGGATGCAAATAGTCACCGTGGGGTGGATGGTGGGGCGACTGTAGCTTTCGTTTCTGAAGTAAAGAGATGTCACCGTTTTTTCCTTTATATTGTTTGAAACTGGCGAAAGATATATTCAATTAGAGGCTCGCTGTGCGATGCAAAGGTAATGAGAGCACGTGTAACCTGGTATTAACGTCCGAAGCCAACCACGCCGTTGAATCATGTAGAAGACTATCGTCATTTGCTCGATTGTTTAATGTACTTGTATTTAAATTTCGCGCTGCGTGAATGAGATTTTGTTCCTGATGTGCACAAAAAGGTTCATATTCTCCTTCCTCTAACGTGTGATTTAAACCTGGTGATAACGTCCGAAGCTGCGCGCGTCGTTAATTCAAGTTGTTTCATGGGTATCATTCTCCTTCCGTACTTCAATTAAACGAAAGGAGTTAAAAAAAACAATGGCGAGTGGAAATAATCGCATACGCTCACTGGCGATTTGTGACGTCTTTAAAGAAGTTGTGTTTGGAGGGCTTTTCTCGTGATAAAGCCAGGCCCTGGATTGCTTTATATGTCCAGCCTGGACAGTAGCACGATAGCACATGATATTAAAAAAAAGAAATAATAACCGACTGATAAAATGATACGTACCTCTCGCCTGCCTTCGTCCATGGCGCATTCCTTGACACAGCCGTGAAAGTGACTACATGTGGTTTTTTGGCTTCAGCTTATAAATAGTGAGGTCTCCAGGGTAAAATAGGGTGCATCAGCGTACAATTTTTATGCATTGAGCAAAAATACAGGTTGTGTAATCACAGTAAAATGTCGAGTTGCAGAAGATTTGTATTCTCATCTACCGCATACCACATTAATATGAATATCCTGTTCCTCAAAAGAAAGACGATTAAATAATCTATTGAATAGGTCATTAAAAATCCAACGATAATTAAATAGTAACAACAAAAAAATCACATTAACAATAATGGTGATGACAATAATCGTTATATACTAGTAATTCAAAGGGGCTAGATCATGGTTCCCCTATCCTCTGGGCTCTGAGCTGCAACAATGATTACATGTACAATTTGTTCTAGAACCACGCTACCAAGTGACGGTGTGGTCCCTGGCGAGGCGAGGCTTGCAAGGAGGCAGCGTTATCGAGCTGGTTTTCAACGGTCGTGAGTCGTGAATGTGTACGGGGAGTCGTTAGAGACGTCTAAACCGAAAATTTTAGAAGCAAATAGCGGCTCAGCGTTGGTTTCACGGGGAGGATTGAGTTGCCAGTGATTTTGAGCCAGGATTCTTCGCTTCTCGGATCGGGCATTCGGAAATGGAGTGCGCACCCTTGGACATCTCTTATGAGTAGTAAACCTAGAAATGGATAACTCAGTAAATGGGTTCCTTTCAACATAGTAAGGGGTCAGATAACAAGCGACACACTGTAGAAGAAAGGTTAGATATTTTTATTGACAATTTGACTTATGTTTTTATTCCTAATGGAGGTCGTAAATAATCCCATACAAAGCTTTAAAATTGAAAATGACCCTTACTTCGTAAGATAATCATCTCACTGCTGAAGCTTGGGCCGCCTGTACACCAAAAAACTCACTTGACATATTTTGCATTTGAAATCAGCCCTATGGTTATTTAGTTTGCGTGATCATGTCAACGAAATTAACGCAAATCATTCCCAATATATAGCTAGAATTGAGCATACTGATACGTATATATAGTGTCGGTCAACAGTGAGGTTCTGAAAGGAACCAAGAAATATTAAGACTACCTGCATGGTAAGAGGAAAATGTGAGTTCTAAAAAGCACGAGAATTAAAATAATCTCAATGTTTATCGTGACAATTTTATTGAAAAGTAATAGTAATAGGGCTGAATGGAGTCTAATTCGGTCTGTAATCATACGAGTGAAAACAAAATCGGACGACGGCGCAGCGGAAGTCCTATTTGTTTATCATGAGTATGAGTACAGACCAAATTGGACGACCCGCAAAGTCTTATTACCAATTAAGCATAAAAATTACAAATTCCGAGAAGAGAAGAATAGTCAAGTTATGAAAGAAAGGGAATATTTACGTTAAGAGACTGACAAAGGAGGCGTAAACTGTAAAATGGTTGTGGTTAGTCGATTTAAATTGCAACTTTCAATGTGATTGGCGGATTTACACTACAACTTTGAATGTGATTGGCTTATTGAACTGCCCGTTAACAAACTGTCCAATAACAACTTGGCGAGAGAATTAGTGGAAAAAAAGAGTTTCTAAACCCAATCACAATGGAGGAAATTGTAATTTCTATGATCATGGTTATAACAATAATAAAAATACTGATGTTAATAACGATAATAATAATGATAATAATACTAGTCATAATGATAATGATGATTATGACAATAAAGATAACCATCTCCAAAGGGAGGATTTCTCTTTATAATAGCCTCTACATGCCTTACTGTCTTTTTTGAACCAATTCTAAAACCTTGGTCACTCAAACGCACATTTCTGATAAAATTAACGAATTGTAATACATACTTAAGCATACAATATAAATCTACATACCCAGTCAACAGTTTCAAAGGAACTTTGACAGAGAGAAACTACCCGGCAGTGTTGACAAATTTTTCTCATTTTTTATTTTTGTTTGTTGAAAATATTTTGTTTTGGTCATGCAAACGCCTGCTTTGTACTAAATCTGAATTGAATGAAAAAAAATTAAACTAACTGCCATTAAAGTGTGCGTACTTCACTAAAATTAGCCTTGAAATTCGTCGCCTTGTGATCTTATAATTTTTTTGTTTTGTTTTTTGTTTTTGTTTTGTTTTTATTTTGTTTTGGTCATGCAAACGCCTGCTTTGTACTAAATCTGAATTGAATGAAGAAAAAAATTAAACTAACTGCCATTAAAGTGTGCGTACTTCACTAAAATTAGCCTTGAAATTCGTCGCCTTGTGATCTTATAATATTTTTAGAACGTCAATTGAAGAGGGGAGAATAATTTCCTTCCTCAAACCCTGACAGCTTGTCATCGCCTACTCCACCAAATCCTCGACGTTTGCGTACAACTGCTTGTTGTAGATTTTCATGTTGATCAGCCTCTGTAGACGAAAGAAAAGTATAAGATGATTTTCCTAATGTCCATCAAGAATTCTTTATTTCTGCATGACTTTATCTAATTAAATGCTCAAACGCTTGGCAACTATGAAGTCTTCAGTTGTTCTTAGTTGGCTGATTAAGCAACTTGATGGAGAGTAAAGGCACATAGTTGCCGAGTTTATCATGATCATTTTGATGTTATTGAAAATTTTATAAGTAAATAACTCGACGTATTTTATAATGACCCCTCATAAGATAACTGAATGCAAAAAGTTTACCTTGTGCAATATTTCCATTGTTTTGAGCTGGTTTCTTAGATCAAAGAAGGTTGGTCTTGTACCCGGGTCATCTTGCCAGCATCTCAACATTAAGTCGTACCTACGTTTCATTTAACACAGGTTGGTACTTGATATACGTATGGTACGTTAAATCAAATTGAAACGAAACATATGAGTTGTTTTCACGATGAATTCATCGCTATCGCACAAAATTGTTTAACTTGTTATTTTCTCGAATGTGGATATACTCATCGATATGCTAATATATTTCAAATTTTAAACTATGAAAATCTCCATAAAGAAAGGATTAAATTCAATTACTGATGGAGAAAAAGATGCAGTAGATTGAGGCTTTTTAATCACTTATTCAATATAACTTAAAAGTCGTAGAATCAAAGGCACAATAACATTTTCAAGTCTCATTAGAGTGTTAGCCTAAAAGAAACTTCCCACTTACAATTTATCATCCACATGTTGTGGTTTAGGCATTCTGTATCCCTGCTGAAGTAAGTTGGCAATTTTTCTGCCATCCATCCGCGGATACGGTGAACCACCTGATATAAAGAAGACTATTGCATCGCAAGCAGAATTCTATAGCTATGCTTGGATTATTATGCGGCAAATGAAGAAATGATCAAAATTAATATATGACATGGAACGGGTCCTCTTAGTCAGAGAGAACGCCTCTTAAAGGGTATCCGGTCCTTCCGTACCCGGTCGTTTCTTACCCAAGTTTGAGTCAGTTCGTACCTAAGTTTGAGTCGGCTCGCACCAAAGTTTGAGTCTGGTCGCACCCAAGCCTCGGATCGATTCTCACCTGATTTTTACTCTTCCTATTTATTCGAAACACCTCTCGCGCGAGCGCGTGAACAGATGTTAATTGTTCCGTACAACAAGGTAGTAGAGTCAAGCGAGTATTAGAGGTACAGAGAAAATTATATTGTGTATATTTGAAACATTATTGCTTAGTGCAAGGTAAGTCTTACATTTTCATTGGAAAAATCTATTGTTTATACTTGTGACCTCGTCTAACAATATCAGCTCGTGTAAGTGAGATATTATTTCTACCATTGTTATTGCTATTCTAAAAGAAAATAAATGAAAGCATTATGTTATAATGTATGCTAATTAGGGACGGGAGAAAAGTATAAATATTTCCGGTAGAAATATTCTTCGCGTCTGTCTTATGACTCCCAGACCCCCTTTTTCAGTTCCAGGCCTTATACTCGGCGGGTTTAGGTTATCGACTGAATTGATAATGTAATTTGGACACTCGGTGGTCGCGCTTCAAAAATGGACACCATGTTAAGAAACTTATTTAACGCAAGTAATATCGCTATTCACAATAAAAAACCGACCATACTTTAGACAGTCTTAACACGGAAAACATACTTTATAACTCTAGGTAAGAAACGGCCGAGCTGGGCACGAAACGACTGGCATCCTTTAAAGTAAATTCTTTTCGGGTATTTCTTTCGGGAAAACCAATGCACACCAGCAGTGAGTCGTATAATTTAAAATTTGTGCATCATTTGAATTTCCCTCATTTTCGTGGCACTGAATGACAAAAAGACAAACGTAGAGATTCAATGATCCCTTAAAAGATGAAATACCAAACTTTTAACGATCGGAAAAATTACGCTGCCGAGGATTTTTCTTGTGAGTAAACCCGCAAAGAAAATCTCTGTTCCCAAGTTTAACCCTTATCTCGTAAGTGAAATGGAAAATGGAAGATCCCCTTCAAAGGCCAACCCCAGCCACCCTTTAATGTTATAAAACATCAACCTAGTTAAAACATATTGTGGGCATGAGACTCTCTCTATTGCTGGCCTAATGTAAATCGTTGAAAACTAATCAATAAGTATTACCTATTGTAAAAATCTCATAAAGGACAACTCCATAGCTCCATCTATGAGGCAATAAAAAAATTCGGAAAATTCAATAACTATCAGACATTTTAAAACATTCGGCTTTGCTGTCCCTAGAAAGTATTACAACTTTTAGCAACATACATAATTTGATTATACTACAGACTTGTGGAGCACTATCAATAAATGCTATGAAACTACCGCCACAAGTACATCTTAATAGTTAAGAACATGGAAAATGGAGTAAAAATTCATTGCACAGGACTTACACATCACTTTTGGTGGTATATTTTCCATATAACAGCGCTTCATAAGCTGTCCACTTTACTGGAAGGCGACCCTTAAAATTTTGATTGGAAAAAAATTTCGGTTAAGAATATTGAGGCCAAGGAAGATGGTCGACTATGTGACTCGGAGACGCTCTTTTAAGGTATTCAGGATCACCAGTGCATTAACCATGCCTCCTTTCTCAATGAAGAAAATATTCACTCTGGCGGGAATTTCTTTCCAAGAAACTACACTTTCCTACTCTGTCCCCTGGGTAACTTCAAAATTCACAAACGCTCAACATTGACCAAAATTCATCCCCTCCAAAACTTCTACCTCGAATTAAGCTGGGAAAGCACTGTTATATACCCAACTGTTGAACTTACAGAAAACGATACTGTCTGCTAATTTTAATCAGCGTCTGCCAGAATTGACATCATTTCAAGTGAGTTCATCGATTACATGTCTAAGCACACTGGCTGCTATCCTTAACAAATGACAGGCACTTTTCGCAGTCTTTGCAACACAGTATCAGCTACATCATCACTTAAACATAACCCTAATTTTCTATAAAAGGTTGATAACGTGAGGAGTAACATTCTCCAAGAACTAAGCCTGTACTGTAGTGATGCAACTCATCTTTCACTTCCATTGTTATCTGGCCAGCGGACAATACGTCAAAAGTGCATCATGGAATGGATGCAGTGGCCTTTTGCCCCAGGTTGAATTTTGTGACGAAAACGTGATCGGTGAGGAATTCACAGAAAACTGACGCGTTTATGTTCACAGGAAATGTGATAGGTCAATCGATTAGCAGATAATTTCGATAGCGAGCAAAGCAAGAGCTAAGGCGATCGGATAAATAAATAATTAGTTCATGCTTAGCGTGCGAAGTTTGGAAACCACGAGAGAAGCGTAAGAGTTGCTCCAGGCGCAGCCGAGAGCAACTCTGACATAAAGGCACAAATTGTGCACGAAGCAAAGAGTTTATCACAACTGTTTCGGGTTTACCAGGTAATCATGTTCTAACCAACAACTGTGGATAAAGGACAAAACAAAAACGACCAATAAATATTTCGAGATAAAATCTTTATTCAAATCATTGTAAAATTTTCTGCTCAGAAGGGAAAAACTGACGGGGACGAATTTCTTGCCTACGCGAGAACGCGTTGTCGATTCAGCATGCTTAACAAAAAGATTGCGTAGTTTTTTGTCATGAAAGTTGTATAATTTTGAAACTGCGACAAAACCTTCTTTTGAACAACACTTTTGGGGCATTTCCAAAATAATATTTACCGTTCTAAAGAAAAGTCCACAATGTCGCAAAGCTTCAGTTGAAGTCGGAAAACTCAGTTTTGTTTTCAACCATAATACCTCATCAGTGAAGCAACGCGTTTGGGAAAAAAAAGTATCGTTAACTCCAAAGCTAATTTTGTCGCTTGAGAGAGCTACATGGTCATTGTTTTCAAAACGGGTATTGTTTAGCAGAACTACCATTCATTTTAAGCGCCAAAAGGTCTATCTTAATCGGAATGGAAAGGAATAACATTCTTGAAAGGTTTGAAAGGTCGCCGCTAAACTTGACGGGAACTCGCTGTAGAGGTGAAACTATACACGTCATGTTATGGATGCACGGCCGTGCTTACTTAACTGAGCCAATTTTGGCTGAACTGCATAGAGAAAGACTGTTTATTGAAAATGGTTGTAAATTAAATGATAGGTTTCAACATTAAAACTGAAATAAAGTTTGCAAGGTAACTTTGATCCCGATAACGCGCGATGCACTCCCCTGTCAAATGTATCATTATTTATTATAGGAACTTTTGAGTAAGTGTATACACAATCTCAAGACGTTTATATTTTTATAAAGTCCAGATATGACACGCGTAGTCATTGGTTGAAAGAGCGTTCTCTATCAGGGTACAGTGTATAAAGCTGAACTAAAGCTGTCACGCCATCCCCCACATCGTTCTATGTCCGATCTTTTCTGGGACTTCTTCTTAGCTTTTTTTTTTTGGGTTAATTTATAGTGAATTTTCGGAACAAGCGAGCCGGCAAGTGGCAACAGAAGAGCCAAACAAAGGTTTGTAAACATGCCTAGCGACGTAATTTACGTTATCATAACGTAAGCAGAAACGAAAGTCTTCAAGGAGAAAACGAAATGGACAGCCTGAGTTTTGAACCTAGTAACGCTCAGCAGGATTTGCAAACTTACTTATGGTAATAAAAATCAAACACAGCTAACTGATACTCCTACAGTATATATAGTTTCGAGTTCAAAAACAAAACAGAACAAAACAGGAATGATGAAAAATATAGCAAAACTGGCATAACTGTTAAAATTCCTACTAATAATGACAGTGTCAGAGCGACTGCGATCCTGCTGAGGTCCATCGCGGCTAGATCATCATGGCGATCCCCGGTCATCGCAGTGAAGCAAGCCTCAGATATTACATCGGCCGCCTTCGAGTGAACAACTAAGGGCCTGCTCTAATACTCTTTCCGATGCATTGACTGGAAGGCCACATCAGTCACAGCAGCCGAATTAACGATGCTGTCATTCCGAGCTCGAGCAATCTTCATGTTCCAGTGAATTAGGCTGTCGTTCATTCATAAAACACACTCCTCGAGCAGTTTGTTCTCTAATTGTCTAAGAAAAAACTTACGTGCTTTTATGAGCCACAATTCGGTCGGATGTCGCTGCATATTTCACTTTTTACTTTGTTAACTATTGCAGATTGTGAACTTTGATGGTTTGTTATTTTTTACAGCTTTAGTCTTGTTCAACCAATCAGATTATTTGAACAAAGATTCTGATAAGCTTATTGTAGCGTGCCTTATGAGAGTATAGAGTATGCTGAAGACACTGTTGTTGGCTTTGGAAATAAAGCTGGTTTTGAAAACTAAAAGTAACGCGTGGGGAATTTAAAGGATTATTTACTATGAAACAAATAGAGAAGCCTTGCTTGTGCTCTGTTCTGTTGTAAAGCACTTAGAAAGCAGCTGGAGCACTCAAGAAGTGTTTCTCCCTACACTTAGCTTCCTTCGTGATCTAGCTGCCTCCTACGTGGTTTACAACAGAACAGAGCACACGCATGACAAATACATGTCATGGACTGAAGCAAAGCCAATTTCTTTTTAATTACCTTTGTCTTTCTCTCATAGATATTTTCCTCTTGCACATTTCTAGCCATCCCGAAATCTGTTACTTTACATGTTTCATTTTCTCCGACCAGCACGTTACGAGCTGCGAGGTCTCGGTGGATGATCTAACAGGAAGGAGAAAAAAATAGCCCGCCAGTCTGAGATTACACGTAGCCACTGATTTAGCACAATTTTTATAGAATTGAACACTAACAGAGGTTGTATAATGTGATGTACATATATATATAATATGACTACCACATATATATATATAACATGATTACCCAGTTCCACATGAGAAATTAAAGATGATTCAAGAATATAGTGACTAATTGACATATAATTAAACGGTAACAAATAGTCCTATTAAGAATAATAATAATGATAACAATGGTAATGACAATTAAGAGGAACTAGCTCAAAAGCCTCACGATTCCTCCATCCTCTGAGCTCCAATAATTATCAGACAATGCTTCTTTTGATTTTGCCTGTTCTTTAAAAATAGTTTTCTTATTACAGCCCAATTCTATTTTTGTGAGACTTTTGTTTCTTACAACAAGGCATTCCGTCATTTCGTGTTTAAGGATATTACGTCATACCACCGTTGCAACAATCTACCGTTCCATCGTTCCGCTGAATAGGATCAGCCTGTTAAACCTCGCTCATTGCTCGCTTCCCAAATTTAGCGTCTCTCTCGGGCATATGTGGCTGTTTCAGACAACACAATGTTCTTTCTACAAAGAGGAACATTTCCCCTGAAAGTTTCCATGACGGGTAGATCATACCTTTTTCCCCATTTTTTTGCAAGGACAAGTTCTATCTTGTTCGTAATTAAAATTACGCTTCGGAGAGATTGTAAATTTATTTAAAGTATTTCGTAGTGTCGAGGCAAATCCTGACAAATTTTAATTTTCGGATCAACTAGCCATTATCCGTTGATTAAAACGCGGTTGTGGTAGATGATATGGAGAAAGAATGTGAAACAACGAAGATAGTCAGAGGCAAACTATAGAGAGAAGTTCAGCATTCTTATTATTGAGAACATTCTTTCAGATGCGGTAGCCGCCAACGTTTACATAAGATGATTGAATCGAGTCAGTCAGCAGTGAACTCTGACTGTTCCTATGGCTCGTGTTTCATATCTGTTGACTCATAAGGTGACATTTGATGCAACGTTACTAGGTATCAGTTGTAAAAAACTGGTGTCAAAGGGTGAAAATTGATTCAATTAATTCAGGTAAATTCTAAAGTGGTTGCCTGAGATTTCTTCAACAGCTTCCGAAAAGTCTCGCAATTTCTTATTTACTTACGGACTTACAGGGACGATAACATAATGCCTTAGAGGCAATAGGCTAGGAATCCCAAAAGTAAATAACTCAGCTGTGAAGTCAGTGCGAATATCAAACTACTCAGATACTCCGAAGCAAAAAATAAGTAACACCGGGAAACATCGGGTCGAAATCGGGTGAAATTCGGCATTCTATTTTTACTTGCCATCACAAACTCACTAATTCCGACAACATACGTGGCTTCTCTTCCAATATGAGGCGGTAACCACAATGAAATCGATGAAATCCGAAATTCCTTCAGTAACAAGCCAACAAAAGCACTTCTTCTGATTATTTGCCCCAGCTCAAAAGGATAGTGATATTTATCATTATTGTAAATATCATTATTATTGTCATCGTCATCATTACTATTATCATTGTCACTATTCAAATATGTGTGCCCTTCAGACAAGTGTCCCGTCCAATGGTAAGAAGATGTAGAGGCATCTTTCTACTATTCGACACTCGAATACTCGACAGGTACGAAATTCCTCAATTACGTGTTATGTAAATGTTTGAGGTAGCAGAATTACTTCTAAAAAGAAAAGAACCGTTTCTATCTGATTTAATGTGACAAATAGTTCCAAACTTCTTAAACTTACAGATTTCGACGACAAGTAGCTCATGCCATCAGCAATTTGCCATGCGAACTTCATCAGCTGCTGTGATCTTAAGCTTGTTTGTGGTTTGATATCCGGGTCTTTATAATAAGTGTCATTTAGTCCACGGCTCTTTCTCAGGTAGCCCAGAAGGTCTCCAAAAGGAACATATTCTATCAACACCAGCAGTGGCTCTAAGAAAATAGGTAAGAAATGATGAAGGATTTTTTTTACGTTAAGGAGTTTCATTACATAGTAAAACTATGGTACCTAACTTGTCTCCGGTTACACTATGCTAAGTCAGTCTGACCAGCTTGGTAACTATGTTAGTGTGATAAAACAGCTGCTAAACAAAGCTATTAGAGACATTTTATTAGGCATGCTACGCACGCAAGAGTTACCTTTTGGGATGGGTGGGTTGGAATGGGTCACTAAGTAACTGATGTTTGCATTTTTTGTAAAAGAATAATAGTTTCATTTTCAAAAGATTTCAACAAAAATATCTTCGATGGAGAGGGAAAAAAAACCTCAGACTTATCTGAAATCAAATTAAAAAACAGGTATTTCGTGGTCTATTGTCACTGTTACTTAAATAATTGTATGCTAAAATTGTACTCTCCTTCACAGCCGTTATGTGGCTGTGAAGGCATGCATGCGATCGATAACATTTCTTCTCGATCTTGCTCTTCGTTCGCATTCGATTGAAATTTTAATTTCACTTTTCCTTTGATGTACATTCCAAATATATACAGGCTAGACTTCATCGTCTGATAGTTCGTTTAATATCTTGTTGTCATCTTTGATCATATCAAATTGGTGCCTTTCCGATCGTTACACGCATTTGACTCACCTTCCACCATCTTCAAAAAACTGCTGAGCCTTTAGTACGGCTCTGCGGTATTGCCCGTAACATTCTTACGGCGATGCCCAGGAGACTCAAGATCAAACTGAAGAGTCACCTAATGCTTTGGATTTATATCAAATTAGCTAGCAACCTTGGTGGCGAGTTTAATAGTGGCGACTTAGTAGTGGCGAGATTGCCTTAGTGGCGAGCCAACTGTCTAGCACTGATAATTAGCGCTGATTGTCTCAAAAATTTCCGCGGGCAGGGAAACTCGCGTCCCGTAGCACTAATGATAACGGCCTGCCGTGGTAACTCTCATATCTTCACTTTCTTCGTCAAAGACAAGATCGAAATTATTCAGTTACAGCTAGCTGCCTCAAAAATATTATTCCACGTTATTTCGCTGTGGAAAGCAAACCGACTAAAGAAACTCTATTTTATCTCCAATAACTTCTAACCAAAATTTTTTTTCCGTCTCTGTTCTTTGAACAAGTGATAATATTTGAACAAAGAAGAAAGTATTATAGTTTGAAGGCTTTCTAGTGGGCATAACAACGTGGGCTCCTTTGTTTTGCTGTTGTCTATCTAGACTTTGCCGCGTGCGTGCGGAATAAATGATAAAATGCAGGTTCTTTACAAGGAATTGACACGTGATGGGGTGAGGTCCAAGGTAGCCAAAAGCGAATTTGATTGGCACAAAACGTGGAGGCCGGGAAAATTGCTTAGAAATCGTCTAACAGTAACATCCTAAGTAGCATGTGGATTTTTGGTAGGATTATGTCGCTAAATTGAGAATGTTTGCCGGAATATGACATTTCATTGGATTAAAACTGTTTCATAGTTAAAAGTAAACACGTAACTGTATCGGGAAATTACCGTTTGAAATTAATGGGACGCAAGAAAAAGGGAAAAAAAAAAAACAAAGCGTGATCTTTTCAAGCTTCGCCAAAAGAACAGCAACAAGGCATAAAGAAGATTTTAGCACAATTTTTTTTATGCAAAGGCTTTGCGTAGTTTTCACCAGCCATCAAAATAAGATTATACAAAACAAACGCTTCCGTGATAATCTAATGTTCGGCCTTTTGCTAGCGGCGTGTGCGTTGTAAGAAAAGAAGCGGTACACAGAACACATCTAAATGGTAGAGGAATTCTATGACGACCTTTCTAAGCCCCACAAATCACAGCGACGAAGTCCCCCACGAAGTACATGAACCATTGATCTGATTATAGCAAGATACATACCCTCCTGCAGCCATCTGATCAGTGCTACGTGCATAAACTAATGCGGGATCTGATTGGTACTAAATACATACCCTAATGAGGCGATATGAAAAGTGCCAACAACAGACCAGCTTGCGCTGCTCTAGGGTGATCATGATGAAAGGATGTGCTGTGAAATGAAGTGGTCAATGTTATTTAGGTCTAGATGTGATACGATGGTGATCCGTAGCCCATTGTGATTACAGATGCGGCATGTACCCTTTTCGCTGTTTTCTTTACCTCTCAGTGTGCCGTTTGAAATGGCCGGTCCTTCGTCTCAGTAAAGTCCGATGTTGATGTTGAAGTTTCGCAGTTGGGAAAGGAGTAAACTTCCTACTAGCTCGCATGTTTAAGCACCGTCGTAGCTGCCCCTAGTGACATCAGACCATGACTAGATACAGAAACCACACAGCATCATTCCGACACACAAAACACAGAAACTCTACCGAACTCAGAAAACATATCTGGACCCTAGTAAGAAAATAACATCGACCACTTTATTTCAAGGCGCATCCTTTCATCAAGATCACCCTACAACAGCGCGAGCAAAAGATACAACCTCTGCCTTAAAGAAAAATTACTCATCATCTGCCGACCTGAATTATCATCACTCAATAAACGCTATGAATTCGTGTCCTCATGCCGCCACAGAAACAAAGCGTTGCTGCGTAACAAGTGAACAAAGCATTTAAATTACCGCCACGCCTAGTATGCAAATTTGTAAAGCATATAAACGATGGTTACGAATATTCTTGACAACAAAATCCCTTGATGAGTGAGTTATCACGAAACAGGCCGGTATGGGCCTATATGTATGTATCGCCCTAACCTGCGAAATGATTACTCTATATATATATATATATATATATATATATATATATATATATATATATATATATATATATATATAAACGTTTTAACGTTTAATTGTGCCTTTCGAAGTGTATAATTTTTTTCTCATATACATATATCAACCAAGGCATGGTATCTCGCTTCATATGTAAAATGTATATATAAAATACCTGCAATTGGGACTGAAACGTTGTATAGTCAGCGCTAAATTATATTAGAGCTTGGTGGTTCACGCGACCGCCTAACAAAGAACTGCCACTTAAGTGGGGAGAAAACCTATTTGCCGCCGCCTGTGCTGTTTTCGATAAAATTTACTGCAGTGATGTTGCAATTGAGTCCACGTCAAGTCAGTCAAGTTTGTCGATGTGCTATTGCATTGTAAAGCATGACATACATCGTAAGACAACTTATCATTTAACCACGTTACGGTAAATTGTCAGGGAAAAAAGTTACGAGGGAGGAAGACTTAAAATCACTATGAAAAATCAGAATACATTTCTATCACTGAAGAACGGTTGAGATACAAATAAGGAAAGTGAAGAATAGGAAATCAATTCTGATGAAGTGCATTTAAAAATGGCCATTAAGTAGCCTCATAAACTCTCCACTACAACCTCCTGAACTCCGTTTTCTAGTAATTTCCAAAAGTTTTCCGTCATACACGAATAAAGCAAACAGTTGCATGAATCAGCTCACCAGATTCCGTAACACATCCCAAAAGTTTGATGACATGAGGGTGTGTTTTTAGCTGCTTCATTGTGTCAAGTTCCGCCATCAAATCTCTTTTGTCAGATTCTGCAGCGTTACCTAGAGATAAAACCAACTTAGAATATGAAAGGATTTAATTTCGCCAGCGCCATTCATTAGTATGGGATCTTTTCGGTAAAATGTCACTTAATAGAGGAAGCTGAGGTAAAATTTACAGTACCTTTTGCGTGTACTGCAGCACCTCACGCGTGCGTCTGGCGCGAGTAGTAAGTATTAATTATTTCGTAAAGTAAAGGGCGTGCAGTAGGAAAAATACACGAGTGTAGTGGTTTACACCCAAATGCGTGTATTTTAACTCGCTTGCCATTCTCTGCACGCATTTGGGTGTACTCTTTAATGAAGATGCTATAGCTGTGGGGATTTGTTTTCTAAAAATATGCTCAGTTAAACGTTCAAACATCATTCGCTTCAACAGTCCCCCCTTCATTTAATCTTACTTTTGAGTTAATAATTAGCTCCTTTCATATGACACAATTTTACCGCAGCATGTTAGAGAACTTAAAAATTGACTTTCATTCTTATTTCAAGAAGAGCCAAACATTGAAATCGAAATGCACAAAGGAACGGGAATAGAGAAACCGATCAACGTTGCGGGAGACATTCTGTGATCATTGAATTTGTTGTTTGCGAATACAGGTAAAATGGTGCCCTTGAATGACAAATTTTGTCACATGCTAGGCAAAGATTTCTAAGAACAAATCAACTTTCTTTATTCATCGAAGCAGTTATGATTGTGTTGCCATTTAAGGTAGGCATCGATGCTTCACAATTTTTTTTTTTGACTTCCAAAACTCCATTCAAAATTCGATCATTCAAATCGGAAGCGGTGCAAATTGATATTTAAGTCTTAACACACACGTTTTCAATTCTCAAGAGACCAAACAAAATGCAGTGACTCGCTCATTCTCGTCTGATTTCTTACGAAGAAGACTGACTCCAATTTGTTTGTCTTCTCACACACACTTTTATCTCAGTACACGCATTTAATAAGTTATTGATGACAAACTTTGAGTAAAGTTACACAAAGTTAGCATTTCATACTCACACGCGTGCACTTTTTTAATACACGAAGATGCGCGTGGTGACGTGCAGTTTCACTGCTGCACACGTGGAGTGCATAGGATTTGCACACGCGTCAAGCGTGTATGATGTAGTATTATCGCCCTCACAGTTAGATTAAAAAACAGTAAGAAGCATCTTAAAAGCATGGAGAGTAAGAACCAATAATACAAACATGAAAATTTCAGCTGAATATAAACTATTTTTACGATATGAAAGATCATACTTTTGAGCATTTTAATAGCCACTGTAGTTGTCCCAGGCCTCCCACGAAGTTGCTCAGCTGTTCCCTTAGCAACCTGACCAAAAGCACCTTTACCAATTATTTTTTCTACAGACACGCGATCCCTTGGCACCTCCCAAGAGCGTGTTGATGGATGGAGAGGCGCGTAATCAGCCACTTGATGAGCCCTTTGTTCTTTAATATTGCGTTCGGTTCTTATTTCTTTGAGATCCATACATTCTGCGCGAGACTGGATAAACTGTCTTGCATCTGAGCAGTCGGCCTTCTGATCTTTCATCGACATTTCGTTCTGAGGTGAAGAAAAGATGGAAAAATCATCTTTAATTCCCTACATCTAAACTTCAAAATTTCCTATCTTTTAAGTCGAAACTTCGCGTAAATTTTCACTAACGTTTTAACGTTAAGTCACTTTGTTTCCCTCAAGAGTCAATAAAATGAAAAAAGTAAAATTTACATATAATCAGAACTTTTCTTACATCATATACTTCTCTGCTGTCTTCATATGGTCTAAAATAAAACAAAATGTAAGGGTTAAGTCTTTTTAATGTTTACAAATGAAAATTTGCAGTCAGTCCTTCAGATGTTATTAATACAATTTTTTCCTTCTTAAAACTGCACTGTGATGATAATAATGATCACTGTATCAATATTAAAAGCATTCATTCATACACGATAAAATTTTTAGCGTGGTTGATGTGGTTGTGTCTAAGTTAAGTCTAAGAAGATAAAGAAAATTACAGTCTTAATTAAAACTACAGGTACATGATTAAAACGACAAATTGAACATTCTACCAACATTACATACTAAGAAATTAAAATTTGTAGAACTCAGAGGTAATTTTATTGTTTGCCCAACCAGCTTTTCATACTGATACTGAATCTTATTTGTTGTGTCTTTCATTTTTTATGTGTGTCATAAAGCATCAGCAAGAACCTAAAAGGAAATCCGAATATCTGCTTTCAGCATTTTAGTTATCATTATAAGCTGTAACAGACGCTTTGCTCTAAAGAGAGCAATCCATCGTCTTACTGGATGGAATCTCTAAACAAATCAATCCGCATGGCAATAAGACTCACCTTCGCTTTGCCGCCGTTTCTATCAAAGAAAAAAATACATAAAAGATGAGGGCAAAGTTATGGAAAAAAAGTGCATAAGAGAATTAGATGGCACCTCAAGGAAAACCAAGAATTACTTACCTCTTTTGTTATTCCAAACCACATAGATGACGAGAATGATATTGAATAGAAGAAGGGCTCCGATGATGGATCCAAGTAAAACGTGTTTACAAGAACATTCACAAATGTTTATCTCTGTCAAATAAAAATTCATAGACTGATTCATTTATACTTATTCACAAAGACAGACTCAGATTTTTTCATATTCTGCAAAATAAGGTAACGGTCAAACAAAAACCTAAGATAGTTGAAGATGATGTTACTCAAGCGTACAACTTTTTCACATTTACATAATCCCGAGCCTGATCACAACTGGTCTTCTGTTCGTGGAAGATTTACGTGTGAGTGCTTTTACTGAGCCGTATTTTCGGGATCTTAACGTTAATATCAAACGTGTATAGACGATTTTTAGGTGAAAACAATTCTACTAATCAATCAATATACAACAAATGATCGACAACAGCAAAGATTTTAGTGATCGTAATCAAAATATGCATGACTATAGGTTATCACAGCCGCCATATTCATCTGATTGTTGATGTATAATTATGATGGTTAAGTATAACCTAAGGCTGCAAAACCAAAACTATTTTTATGAGTTTAGAATTTTCCTTACGACTTGCCACGCACCGGTTGGTTCTTCTGAGGAAATAGTTGTTTTGGTGGTGCTAGAAGGTGCATCAGAAGGTATCTCATCAACAGAAATCGCTTGGATTGATCCCGGGTCAACCGCAAAGTTTCCTATACCTTTGCCTCCAGGTGTAACAGCCTTGCTCAGAACTGACAAAACTTTGCTTATCTCTTCATTTTGATTGAATTTCAATAAGAGATAGACAGTAATACTGCCGCACCTGGGGATAATAATGGAGACACGAATTAACATGCAAAGAAAATCCCAGAAAACTTTCAATTGGTCTAGTAACATCTAAGCAACCGCAAGAAATTGTTCAGTTTTTATGCGAGCTGTAATTTATGGCGACCTGATGAGTGCTTCTAATTCCCTTTTGTAAATAAGCTCTATAAAAGCTTTGAACGACGCAAAGACTCCTAATGGTATACAATGTTTTCCCCAGGTTCATAAAAACGTTCCAAAACAGGAACATCTGTACCAGCAGGAATTCAATACGCAAAATGGCGAACGCCAGTTCAGCAATGATCCACCAATTGGAAACTGCTGTAAATGACACCTATAACATTCTGACAAATCACAAAGTTACAGAAGGATAAAATTACAAGCCAACACCATACTTGTACTTTGTAGCTTCTACCGCTTCCAAGGACGGAAACTCTAATTTAAGAACTTCACCTACCTATTCAGGGATTAACAAAAAGTCTATCAATTGATAAGGTCTAACAAGCAGGGTTTTTTTTTTGAGGCACATAGAATACCCGGCCGTTTAAACATCTAAGATCTTCTCAGGGTGCAAATTCCACCTCTTGCTTTCTATTTCGAATTTCAGAGTTAGAGAATTCAACAATTATTCTTCGAGAGCGCGCCGTGTATTAGATGATAAATAATGAAGGAGGCGCGTTATGATAATTTCATATCAGGCAAGCCTGAGTACAGGGCGTGAAGTTAATTTTTTTTTTTCTAATAGCCACTTGGCTCTTAAATTTTTCAAAGTGGTAGCCAATTCAAAAAAACTTAGTCGCCATTTTTAAAGACAAACAAAACCTCTTTTTTAACACTGTCAGCTTTCTAGATAGATCCTCCAAAATTAAAACGTTTTTTAACGAGGAAGTTTGCCGCGGATTTAACTTTGCAAATCTTTCTAATTATCTATTTCTCTAGGTAAGGTTATGACGAAGCATTCTAGACGCCAATTGGGCGACTGATTTTCAAGATTTGGTCACCAAAGTGAAAAATTTAGTCGCTTTGGCGCCTGTATTAGGCGCAATTTCATGCCCTAGTCAGTAGAATAATTGTTTTAGTACTAACGTACCCAAAAAAATGAATTGACCATCTAGCTATTATTTTGGTTTGACAACGACCGGAAGACAAAAGTAACTTCCGTTCCAAAAATAACGATATGTTTGACAACTTCGTGAACACGCATGCCCGCCTGATCCGGTAAACGGTTAAAAGAGAGTGAACTTTGCGTATTTGTCAAAGTCCTTCAAGGGAAAAGTGGATAATTTAAAAGTTTACACGGCTTTACACTCTCCGAAGTAACCCAAACTGAAACGTTTTCACGTGGATGGGTCGATATTATTGTGTTGACATAAGGGAGGCGAGTGAAGGAAGCAGTCATTGGCCAATTAGCTCAACCAACCAGAAGCCTATAAAATAGATTTAATTCTGTTCCAGATTTTACTAATTTGAAACAAACAGTCCATGTCCGTAGCTAAATAGAGAAAGGAAGTTTCTATAAGCATTAAAAGCGGGTAAATTTAAGCGATGCAAAATAAAATTGTCGCAGTCGATTTATGGTTGCGAGTTTTTTCTTAGCTCTCGATGTAAACTATGTGATTTTGTCCATCATAAATTTATTCCACAGTTGACCCACTGGTACTACTAATTCTGACAATTAATTCGACTTAATTTTCTCTTACTTACTTTGGACTGTAGTTGCTGAAGGGTTTCTTGAAGATTATTGCTGCAATCTCTGTTAGTGACCGTTAACTTTATGTTGAATTTATCGTCAGATGAAACTTAGGAGAGGAAAAAATTCAAAAATCCACATCGGTAACATACACAAACACCTAGATCTGTTTTTACTTTATGAATTCTACTTTCTTTCACGTAAGAGACAATGCTTTAAGTGACTCTAACACGCAGTTTTTTTGACGTAAATATTTAGCTTATAATAAGTAAAAACCAATTCCAATTAGAGAAATATTTCCAAAAAACTAAAACTCGGTTTTTTCGGGCCCTAAAGTGCCCTTATTTTGTCTTAAAAGTGTCCCGTAGAATGGTAACGAATTAGCGGTTGAGGACGTAGAAAACTGTGAAAACTCTCATTTTACGCATTCAAATTTCACATCTCTTGTAATTTTGTATCAGTCAGCGTTAAAATATTCTTGAAATAATTTCCGATAGCGATGTATACCTACCTTCAGCAAGCTCTATCAAGAGTTGTGATACATCGTACTTAAGGGGAATACATATAACGGCGTAATATGTGACTAACACAGTTAATGGACTGTACGATTTTACGCCATTACTTGCGTCGGTACATAATTAAAGTAAATTAACATATAATTAAATTATATTTCTGGCGTAAAATTTGCAGTATATATATCACCGACAGGAAGAAATTACGCCGGTAGTACTTACAGTATATACATACTACCTACTGGAAGAAATTATACCGTTAGTTACTGGCGTAAAATCTCAAATATAAACATTACCGAATGGAAGAAATTATGCCGTTCATGTCTGGCGTAAATTATTACATATATATACTACCGACTGAAGGTCGACTGCATGATTTTACGCCGGTAACTAACGGCGTAATTTCTTCTAGTCAGCAACGTATATATGAAAGATTTTACACCAGAAACTAACGGCCTAAATTCTTCCAATCGGTAATATATGTACTGTAAGATTTTACGCCAGTAACTAACGGCGTAATTTCTTCCAGACGGTAATATTTATACTGTAAGATTTTACGCCAGCAACTAACGGCGTAATTACTGGCAGTCAGTAATGTATATACTGCAAGATTTTATGCCAGTAACTAACGGCGTAGTTTCTTCCAGTTAGTAATGTATGTATGTGTGTGTGTGTGTGTGTGTGTGTGTGTGTGTGTGTGTGTGTGTGTGTGTGTGTGTGTGTGTGTGTGTGTGTGTGTGTGTGTGTGTGTAAACCTCTTTTTCGTCCATTAGGCATATAGTGCACATGAATGGAGACTTTGACTAAGCCTACCGTACTCGCTAAGCCTAAGAAAGTTAGTATCGATTGACCGAAATCTGAGCTTTCCAAAACTGCCAGCGTCACGGCTTTTTAATTTTAAAATTAACCTTAATTAAGTGCATGCTCAATGTGCCGCCAGTGATCGTTACAGCCTGTCGGGACGAAGAAAAAATACATCGGTTTCCCCAGAAAGGTAAAAAACAAAAACCCGCAAATTTCTAATTCAAAAGGTATAGTTTGGACAAAGTCTTACAATTTCAAGGCCTTCATGGAACAGGTAACGAGGAGAAGAAAGAGTCAAGGAAGCTTTTAAGTTGCTTTGATTGGTACTCACGGAAAAAATGTCAACTTCTTAATTGATTTAAATGTGTGAGAACCTCAGACGGAAATGTAGTTGTTCGCGACTTTCTCTTCGTCGCTTTTAATTGCTCCCTAAATTTTATCATAAGGAAGGCAATGATGAGAAGACATGGGTTC